GGTCCGAAAAACTCCCACCAAATCCGTCCCAGTACCTCTGACTTTTAAATGATTATTTTAGGCCTTACAGGGTGACTCACAGCAGCACACACATACCATATTTTACTTTGTTCTATTTTTTCCCCATATGAAAAAATATATTTCATATATTTGAAATACATTTTAAATGCATTGCAATTCATGCCAAATTTTTTCCAAATACTAAAATGTATTTCTGAATATATTGCCATATTAACCATATTTTTTTAAAATGCTTTTATTTTAAAATGTGTGGAGAAATAATATACATAGAAATGTACCATTCAAAAAATAAATGTATGTAAATGTATTTATAACATACACTTGAAAATGTATGAAAATTAGCCTAATTTTCCTAATTTTTTTGTCTAATTACTTTACTGGAATACTTTTTCCAGTACTTTTCCAGTAACCTAATTTTAATTATTAGCAAATGATCCTTTAACATGGCAAAAGCAAGTGTTGTAGATATTGATACAGTGTGAAAATGCACTTATGATTTGATATCTTGTTTATTTCAGACACATTTTGGGTGAGTGTCTTACTGCACATGTACATGGTTAATGCAAAGTACAATGCAAAACACAGAAGTCAGTACCGTTCATTCAGTTTATATATATTTAGTTACATCTATATCTGCAACCTTTGTTAAAACTACATACAACTGAAACATACAATTTGCCTACACTGCAAAAATATATCTGAAAAATACATTTGGGAAATATATTTAAAATGCATTAAAAAATATATAATAAATACATTTTTTGGCTGTTTTCATATTCATTTGGAATATATTTTTTCTTATATGGGTCCATACTGAGTACTGCTACTTCTTTCAGTTTTAACTAAAAATAGGACATATTGCTACTTTAAGGTGTCACCATATAAAAGCTGAATAATGTTTTAGTGGATGCAGTGGCAATACTCTACAACACAACCTAGAGCCTCCTTTACTTATCCCCCCCCTCTTCATTTGCGCTGTTGTGTTTAGTTCTGCTTCAGTGGTGTAGCAGGCTGGTAGCCGTGGACTGAGGGATGTCAGTTACGTGTGCTCGCTCAATCTGAGGGGGGTGCATCGGTAATCGGTATGCATGTGTATGTGTGTGGGTTCATATGGAGCACTACAGACTAAGAGAAGCTTCCAGCACTGCCGCAGGCACTCTGCTGAGAGGGCTTTAGGTCCAGCAGGTGTACGAGAGAGGAGCTCGGAGCACACTGCAGTGCAGCCATAAGAGCCTGGCTTCTTCATCAGAACACAAGCTGCATCCATCAGTACCAACGTTTAAACACAACAGGAGAGCCTAACTGCAGCCTTTAGCGATGAGCATTTTAATCATTCTTGCTATTTGACTATTTGTATTTTATAAGCAAATGGCATCTGAATATCCAGGTAGTATCCACACAGCTAGCATGTGATCTGTATCGGATTGTTCAGTTCGACTGTACATGATTTAATATGATGATAGCCAAACTACTGAGTAAGAACTCACACAAGTTATGCTGTGAAAATGTGTTTTTCTGTTTGAAATGTTTCCATATATAGCTCTGTTAGACGTCGCTGTTGGGCTTAAGGGGGACCCGGGAACAGTCGCTATTGGGCTTAAGGGGGATCCGGGAACAGTCTTAACCAATTTTCCAGCCCTCTAAATAAACATTCAGTTCAAAAACCATGATATTTTGTGGTATACAATGCTGTGAAAAAGTATTTGCTCCCCTGACTTCCTCAGTTTTTGAATATTTCAATACTTAATTTTTTGCATTTTTCAATGTATGCTAAATAGTTTTAGATCCTCCTACAAAATGTAACATAAGACAAGGAAAACATATAGAAACACAAAACAGTTTTTTCAGTGAGCGCCCTATATCACCTATGTGAAAAAGTTATTGTGCCCAAAACAGGTTGTGACACTTTTAGCTGCAACAACTGCAACCAAATGCTGCCAATAGTTGAAGATCAGTCATTCACATTGCTGTAAAAGAATTTTTGCCCACTCTTTGCTTTAATTCAGTCACACTGTAAGGCTTTCAAGTATGACTTGCCCATTTAAGGTCCTGCCACAGCATCTGATTGGGGTTCAAGTCAGGACCCCGACTAGGCCACTCAAAAACCTTAATTTTGTTCAGCTTAAGATCATGGACTGATGACTGGACCTGTAGGATTTTCTGGTGGAGAGCAGAAGAGTCTCGTAGAGTCACCCAGGGCCTGAATTAGCAAAGCATCTCCATACCATCATCTTGTTCGACAGTTGATGTTCTTATTGTGGAGTGTTAAGCATGATTAGTTGTTTGATTGAGTAACTAAGGAAGTACTTACTATTTCACACCAGGCCAGTTAGCGTTGGATAACTTTTTCCTTCAATAAATGAAATGATCATACATAAACTGTCACATAATACATTTATGTGTATATGACAAATATGCATAAATAGAAGAAATCAGGATCAAATACTTTTTAACAGCACTGTAGTTCTGGGGAGATCCATAACATTTTTGTGTAAAGAATATACAGACCACTACACACAAGCAAGAGTCAAACCACTCTATCTGGATTTGGCTCCTAATCATTGCACTGTACCAAACAAGTCCAATGTCATTGCGCTATACCAAAGTCCAACACTGATAAGAAGTTTCATTTCTTCAGAGTTGTATATTATTATTCATCTCCAGGAATAAGGGTCGCAATATGGGTTACAATCCATCACCATTGTACCACATCATTAGTCCAATGAAACGCAATGATGACCGTAAAACAAGATGCAGAACAGCACAGTAAGCACAGCAGGCTGATAATAATAAATACACAAGTCCCTGTTCACAAGAAGATAGGTCTCATTTCCCCGAAACAATCACTCCCTCATTCCTCTCAATGACTCAGCCAATTAGACTTTCCTTGTATATCTGTGAAATTGCCTGGCTGAACAAATTTCATTTGTTCGCACACAGAATACAGAATGTCAAACATTAGCTGAATAAGTTCTTCTGCTCCCTCCTGCCTTGTCAGAAGAAACAAAGAGCCACTTTTGGAGAAGTGAAGTGGCACTAATCAAGCCAGCTGGAGTGAATTCATTGAGCAGCACGGAGCTTGGCTTAAGAGCCAAACGGTACAACAGAATAACACCAGGACCGAACTCCTATTAAAATAGCTGCAATCAAGTTGGGTTGGCAGAAGAAAGGCTCCCGTTCTATTTCTGTGGCTGTAGGTTGTGGCACATCGCAAGAGCCGATGTACAGAACATGTTCTTCTGAATCTTTTTTGAGGAAACTTGGCATTTCCTAGCCCATCAGACACACACAGTGAGAGATGCAGTGGGAAAAGCGTGTGAGGGGGTAGTGTGAGGAGCTAAAGGGATGGCAAGGACACTATGGTCTGAACACAGCATCATATCACCGACACAGTGATACAAAAGGGGGAAAAAAGTAGAGGAAAGAAAATAAGGACAGGGGAGAGTGTTTGTTGTGTGTATGTTTTAAGCTCATTGTGAGGACCAAATGACTTTCTGACAAAGATGTGGAAAGTCTTACTTACAAATATAGTAACAAATGTCCTCACAGAGCTGTAGGCAAAAGTTTGAACATGCCTGGTCAAATTACATGTTTTGTTCTTTTTCTGAGTGAAAATAAGTTAACATGTCCTCTACAGGAAACAAACCTAAAGCTAGACTATGTACGTTTTGGGGATTTGGATTTGTAATGGCACACAATGTGCACAAGAACATCTGGAAACATGAGTCGGATCCCTTCCCTGAGTGGATGAATCTGATGATTGTGAATGCATTTGAAAGAGTAATCAAAGAGAAAGGCTGTGTCTTTCAAGGACGTAAAAGAATAGCGCACAGCCGTCATCATATCTTCATCAATTTAACGTTGATTCTGCATTTGAGCCAGACCTTCTTTTATTAGCCTGTTCATGCAAAAGTAATATGTAAAGATGCATGATGTGGTCCACAAATGCCGTCTTGACAATCCTGACTCACTATTTCAAGCTTTACCAGGCGACTCTGAGCAGCACACAGACTATATTTTAGTGTTTTTTTCTTTTGTTTTTTTCTCAGTATTGCAACAAAACATAATCTTACATATTGCACCTTTAATTGGAATTACGTTGCACATTATGCACACTCACATTGGAAATGCAAATGCACATACAAGACTGAATTTGTAATTAGCTACTTGTATTTGAATAAAGTCCAGATTACGCTGCCATAGACACAAATGGGGTACTTCTTAAATTTCAATTCAAGTCTAGTTTATGAAATAACATACTAACATGCAACAGTCCATCACAGCATGGCTTGAGGAAGGTTGCAACGACATTACTGAAAATAATCACTATGATAGTCAACAGCCATTTTGGTATGTTTCACACTTAGCCATAGGTTTTTTTAAGCCATAGTATTTTTAGGTGGCTGTTGACAACCATTGCCAAGTATAATGTCGGCCTGTTGTTGGGAATAAAGCCATACTTTACAAATTTTATCCCCTTCTTGTGATGTCAGCACTCATTGGCACTCAAACCTTTCAGCTGTTTGTGCCAAAAGAATCTGCTCTTCTTCCCAAGGGAGATAATCTGATGACCTTGAAGCTGAATGTAGCAAAATAGCTGTTAAGTAGTTCTAAAATCTGATTAGCTCTTTAAAGCCAATGTACAATTTTTGATAGGTATAAATATTTTACACCCTCAACAGATTTCTCTGTTAATGACAATAATCTTTGATTGTGATTGTTATGTAGCTTGGCAATTATAGCTTTCTGTTAGCTAACAACATTCCTTGGCGGTTTTAGTCCAATTTGCGATGTGTCTAACAATGCACAGCCTTGAGTGGTTAATAAACTATGTAGTTTTCAAAATTCTAATTTTAAAAGAAAGAAAAGTATCCCCAAATAGATACTGTGTATATATGTGTGTCTGTGTGTTGGTAGGGATGGATAGGGTGGGGAGTCACGGCACTAAGACACAGCACAGCACACGCAGTGGACAGTACCTCTCCATCAGAGCGGTGGCCTCCTGCTCTCTTTTCCTCCGCTTTCTCTCGGCGATGCCGCGGAAAGCCCTGCCGGGATCGGTCACACTGTTAATGCACACGGCCATGTGTGTGTGTGTATGTCTGTGTGTGTGTGTGTGTGTGTGTGTGTGTGTACACGGGGAGCAGTGTAGGGTTAGTCAGGGAAAAAATTAAAGGACCACGTTGTGTTAGAGCTGTGAAAACTGCCAAACCAACCAGAAACCAATATACAGTACTGTGCAAAAGTCAGAGACCACCCTTCATTTATGTAATTGACAGTCAAAATGGCTGTTAAGCGAAAAAAAAATAAAATATATATATATATAACAGAAAATATCACAAAAAGCCTTTAAATACAAAGAATTAAATACAATACCATTCTTTCAGTATTGAGTGTGTTCACTCTTTGCACTTATTACAGCTTGTTCTTTTCATCTTGCTTTCAGTTTTTCTAAGAAATGTATAGAAATATTTTTCCACACCCCCAAAGTTCAGTTTTAGAAGTTGGTTGCATTTTCTGCTCCAAACAAACTTATGGATTTTTTTCAGATTTGAAGCAAGAGTGGAGCTTGATTTTCTCCTCTCTCTCAAAGTGCTGTTTATCTGATGGGGACAATTTTCAAGGTCCCATTTTCTCTATGTGTTTTAGTAATTTTTTGAACTGCTTGTTTTTTTACTTATTTTCTTTTGACTCTCTCCTTCCTTATGCAAGTGGATTAGCGTATATGTAACCTCCTCAGAAATTTCACCAGAAAAATAAAGAAGGTGTCCTGGTGGCCATTTTTACTGTAAATTAAACAAATAAGGGGTCGTCTGTGACTTTTGCACAGTACTGTATATTTACACACACACTCACATATGTACAACACCAGGTCAGGAGTAGCAATACTCACAAAAACACACCAGCAGGGAGGTTCATTTCAAAGTGCACTAAGAGCCTCATTGTGTGAGTGTGTGTGTGTAAGTGTGTGTGTGAGTGTGTGTGTGCGTGCTGTCTATCATATCTAACACACTGAAAGATTGGCTTTGACAGGGTGACAGAAGATATCGCCATCATCATTGACAGTGAATGTCAGAACCAGATCTGTGTCCTCAACAGATACAGTTAATGACAGCCCAAAGTGAGAGAATAAGAGAGAGAGAGAGCATGTGTGAGAGGTTAGAAAAAAGAGAAAGTGGGGGTGAAAGAAAGGTGGGGGTAAGAGAGAGAGTGAAAACCGAATATATATATATATATATATATATATATATATATAGAGAGAGAGAGAGAGAGAGAGAGAGACATTGAAGAAGAGGAGTGGGGACATATATACATATATAGAGAGAGAGGGGGGGGAAGGGGAAAGAGAAAGATATAGAGAGAAAGAAAGAAAGAGAGATGAACATGAGAGAGCGAGAGAGAGAGAGAGAGAGGGAGAGAATATAAGGATAAAAGAGAGACTTTAGACCAAAGTTGCTATCCAAAACTTGTGCATTCTGCCTTCCATTAAGTGCCAGGTTGGTGACAGGCTGAGCACCACAAGTGCCAAAATGAGTGAGTGATTTTTCTGGGTTACTCAGAGCAACTCAGCTCAGGTCATCACACTGTATTGCAACACTTTATCCACAGCAAAGCAGCTGATATTTATCTTTATAGTCTGTCAATGAGACCTCCAGCCTTTGTATGAATGCACAGATGAAATTACTGTGTAATTTTCTATGAATCTCTTATACTTAATGTTGTATAATGGATATTGTTTATTGTATTTGTGCTACATTGCATGTTTATGTGTATTGTGCTGCTACAGAGTTGACTTACATCTTGATGCACCGGATACAATTACGACCAACATGTCATGTGGCAGTAAAAAATCAATCAATCAACATTTCATCTTCTTATATATTAGAAAATCACATGCATATCTAAATATATCAACTTTCCAGATCTCAGACAGTCTTAAGTGCTAAGTAGATCATATGTAGGATTTACTTGAGAGGTAACATTTACTCAAACCCTACATGACATTGACAACCTGTCAAGAATGCCATGGCAGATGTCATGTGCTGTCATGAGTTGTTATGACAGATTATGTCTAGTAATATAATAGATTACTTGAAACCATCATAACAGACGCTATAATATTTGATGTAAAATTAGCACATAACATAAGCTGTCACATGCATACGTCATTACAATTACCGATAATAGTAACATGACACTTTTATATTACCGGATAAAAGTTGTCATGACAACTAATGACAGCATACGACGTCTGCAGTGACATGTTTATGTCATGGTTATGTCAATGTTATGCAGCAGGGGTCAAGTAAAGTGTTACAGACTAATTGTATGTCCACTGCGCCACCCAAAGTTAGGTTTGGCTAAGCAGTGGCTAAGCAATCTATGTTACTAAGCAAAACTGCCAGCTGCAACAAGATTACTTACAGCATTATAACAAATAAAAACAACTAAAACAGCATAACAACAATAGTAAATGTCTATTCTTAAAGAAAATTCAGTTTACAACCAGTGTAAAGGGCTTTTCACACAGCAAGCATCCTCTATTCATTTTCGATGAGACGAGGGGAAGCAGGCAAAGTGAAATGGTTGGCGCAGTGGGCAATTTTGGCAGGCGGTAAGTGAGATGGACCCCGAGACGTGCACATCTGCCTGCCTCCGAGTTGAAACGTTTTCAACCATTGTGGTTGTAACGTGAGGACTACGATAGTGCCAGCTACGATAGTGCCAATGAAATCACAGATTTTGCAGAGTGAAAAAAAGAGGTGCGTCTTCTTCTGTTGCAAAATTTCTTGAGTTGTATTACATATTTTATACAAATACAGACATTTTCTTACATTTATCCATAACAAAACAAGGTCAGTCTAAGTTGGTGGCTCTCTGCTTGTGCTATTAATTTTTAATCCTATTTTTTATGTTTTTCACATTTCTTATTTTTTCTTTAAAACAGTCCTGTGATCTACTCAAGACAAACACTAGCCATGCTAGAGTTGCAGCTGCTACGGAACAATTTTGCACATGCCGTATGAAAAGAGCATGCTGAGTGGTGGAGCTCTGACCAAGACAAACTAATCCTAGATCAGCACTTCAACTCTAGTATTTTTATGTGGAAGGAACTCAAGCTAGACCTTCAAAAACTAAACCAAACCATGCAAATGAACTGTGCGGGCGACGCACAGCTGCAGTGCAACATGTATCACTGAGCAATATGATGGAATGTGATAATGAGCTGTCTTAATCTTTTCACTAAATCTACTATTTACACTATTTATCTCCTGTCACTAATTAGCACCATTCATTCGTGAGTGAGTAGAGGGCAGGTGTGCGTGATCAGATAAAGTTCCACTATAACTTCAAACACTCTGTGCTGTGTTGGGGAGGGAGGGGAGCAGACAGCAGGACAAACGCAGGGCAGCAGCACAGAGGGGACGGAGGGTAAAGCTCGCTCTTTTCAGATGCTGAGTGAAGGAGAAACGATATTACTCACGATATTCTGCACAGCCGAAGGTTCAGAAAAGAGGGATGAGAAAGAAAGAGAGAAAAGAAGAAGTCAGGTGTGACAAGCCATCACGATTTATGACAGGAGATAAAAAGGACAGATGATTGCTGAAGAGATTAGAGGTCCACTCTCTGACATTAGACCAGTCAAGGGCACAGTGCTTTTTGGATGAAATCTTCCATCATTCTTCATTAAAATCTATGACTGATGAAAATGAGCCCCACATTATGCACTTTATTATTACTCATCAAAAGTTTGGTCATATCTGCTCATAAAAGAGTTTCTCCTTACTTTGACAATGGTTTACATCAGGGGTGCCCAAACCTTTTGTCTTGGGAGGCCAAAGTGCAATGTTTGTGGTGGACCGAGGGCCAAAAAAAACATTTTTTAATATTATGCAATATTTTGTTACTATTTTTTGAAATGCCATTTTAAAAGGAAAATGAATTTTAAAAGTTTAAAAAGAATTTAAAAAGTCATATATAATACATAAAAACATGTTTCCTGTGTTTGATTGGTGGGCCAAATCAAACGTCCTCAAGAGCCAGTTTTGACATGCAGGCCACATTGATTTATCTTACAATAACAGTGATGACATCAAAATTATGAAATAACACATACAGAATTATGCATCGATCAACAAAGTGTAGAACAGCTCAAAACAACCTTTTATTTTAGAATTTTAGTCACTGTAGCCCCACAATTCTGTTCTGACCAAAGGTGTTTATTTATTTATTTTTTTAATTAGATTTATTCATTTACCCTCCACCCATCCACACACATACACCAATGACTATCTTTTTATGCATGCCATTCACATTTGTGATTTGATTGGCCAATTTTATTCAAAACATTAGCTGTAATGCTGATTGGCAGCTGTATTAGGTTCATTTAACTCAAAAGCTGAAACCAGGTGCTTAGAGCAAAATGTATGAGGACGGAGCACAAACAAAACACTCAAAAAGAAAAATAAGTACCTTACATGAGCAGACCTTTATAAAAAAATCCAAAAATAATGGGATTTTTTACATTCACTGTCTGTGGTGTCAACATCAGCTAGCCCACTTGTCCACTCCCATAGCATGGATGCCATCAGACTGACTGCTGTTTTCTTCACCAACAATGTAGATTGAGTGACATTTTAAGAAACAGGATATTATTAAAGATGTCTGAGCAAAGAAACATTAAAGAAAGAGAGAATGGTCAGCTATGTTTATTTGTTATTGATTATTCCATTAGAACAGTTCTGCAGGGTTTTAATCACAAAAAAGGGGTCAGTTAATGCAGTACTGGAGAAATGATCAACAGCAGTGCTGCATAGCATTGCCAGGGCATCAAACTCACGATATCATGACAACAGGGTCAACGCTGTGCCACATCGGAGTCTCGTCTTTATGTTAGCTTTGCACACTCTTGGCATTCTCTCCAGCAACTTTTCTTGTTAGAGGGGTATTTTAAGAAAATCTTTTTATTTTTGGAAATAAATTCATACACAGGCATCAACTTTATTTACAACTACTATTTACATTTGTCCCAGTAATTAGTATTTAAGAATCAGCCTTCATACCAGGTGTGTCCAACCTCTGACTGGTGATGTACAAACTTACACTGACATTTTTACACGAGCTGACAATGGGCCGAAAAAGGCTTCATCTTCAACGGTTCAGAAGAACGAAGGAACAAATGATTATGTCAGGAGGCAGGGAAAGAGAAGCCAGATGGATGGAGATAGATACAAAGAGAGAAGAGAGAAGACAGTGGCTTAGCAGGGGGCTCAGCTTGTGGGGTCTGTCATTAAGTCATCTAATGGGCAGGTGATAATTAAGCAGTCAGGACTAGAGAAAGCCTGAGAGGGCTGAAAATAACCCAACCCTACTGTAAGCCAGAGAGAGAGAGAGAGAGAGAGACAGAAAGAGAGCGTCTGTCCTCCCACAGCTCTGAGACTGATGCTGGCTTCCTGAGCCAGTCCTTGTCCTGCAGGGCCGAAGCAAAAGATGGCTGGACAGCAGTGTTTAGTGTCATAAACGTGATGTACTCACGCTTGCATTGTGGTGGTTGCAGTCTGGAAGCTGAACATGTTCTCTTTGGGGAACCAGTTGTTGGCCTGCTCTTCTGAAAGACAAGAAGAATGGACTCAGAATGTAGGATGGAGTTAGAAAGTATACAGAGGCAGAGGGAGATACATACCACTTATCAGAAATGTAAAAAAATCCTGTGTTCCTATTGCAGAACTGAAAGGCCCAGACTGCCCCTGTGCACTTGTCCTCAGAAGAATCCCTGCTGCTATCTTGAAGAGAATTCTAATTTCAAAGAGTCGATGGATGTTGATTTGAGCACCTCTACAACTTTATAAATGAAAAAAAAGTCTACAAGCTACACTCTTCACAAGAAGATAGTTCTTCACAAGGTTCTTTAGTAGAGAAAAAGGTTCTATATAGAACTCTACGAGCATCGTGAAAGCGTTCTTCAGATTGATGGAAAATGTGCTGTAGACGGTTCTAGAAGGGTTCTATATAGCACCAAAAAGGATTCTTCTATTGTTACAATGTCAAGCTTATTGCAATAGAAAAATTTCTGGTGCTATATGGAACGCTTTTGGTTCTTCAGATTGATGGAGCACATTCTCCATTCTCCATCAATCTGAAGATGCCATGCCCCTTGTAAAATTATCACCTAATGTCTATTACTGATATTTTCTTTCCATCCATATGTGAGATTCACACACTATGGGAATTCTTCTCATCAAACAAAGTTACGAGTAGGGTAGAGTAGGGCATGCACACCTACAGAAGAGGTGGCAACGTAGAAATATGTGCTTTCATAGGTTATGCTGTGGAGTGTTTGGCACAGCGCGCAGCAGGGTTGCAAGGTTTGCGGTGTACGCCAAATTGGGCTAGTTTAAAATGCAGTCGTGGAAGAAAATAGTAAAGTTTAATTTTCTGGTGAGTGACTTTTAAGCAAGCATTGAAATGTGGAGATGGAGATGTTTGCTGGGCCTGGCAACCCTGCTTGCTGTAGACACTAAAAATACAGCAAGATCTGTGGACTCTTAAAAAAGAAAAACAGTTGAAAAGCAGTTTGATTTAAAATTTGAGGTTGAGTCTTTTAGCCTGTATCTTTAAATACACATAAGATCATTCTAATAAAATATTTTATTAATTTTATAAAAATAAATAGTTATTGCAACAGTGAAAGGGGTTGTATTTTATTAATATAGAACATATGTTGTTCTATATAAAGATAATATGACATCTGTTAAATTTCTCATGAATGGGTTTTTAACCAATGTTCTCTAAAGCTTCCCAAACTTGCAACTGTTGCTACAAAAGAACGTATTTGAAAGTAGACAGGTCAGTTGGGAAATACACCACATACTAGCAAACCAATCATATACAGACCCAGAACAAGGGCAGAGTCTCTTTCCTCTCTCTCCTCTCATCTCTCTGTTTCTCTATTCTCTCACCTCGCTCCTCTGCACACACCCGGTCCTCGCTGTACATCCTCTCCAGCTTCTTGCGGTGTTTGCCCCCATCACGGGGCGACGTCTCCAGGTCCAGCGAACGCTGGCTGCGGCAGGGTGGCCGCACGCAGGCCGTACAGTCCGGGGTGCAGTACTCCTCCCTTGAGCCACTCCTTCTGGAGCCCCAGTCCCGGATGTTGTGGGCGCTGCCCGAGCTCTGCAGGGGCTGCGAGTGAGGTGGGGCATGGCCATAGTTGTGGTGGGCATTGCCACGGTGATGGCTTCCCTTATGATGGCTTCCACGTGCCTGTAAAGGTATTTAGACACTGCTAGTTGTGTGTGATAACCAGACAAAATGATTTGCTTATATAATTGGATGCAAACTGGAGGTGGGTGTGGCTTAAACAGGAAACAGGTATGAGGTGCTGAAAGTGGCTACTGATTGGAAGCCACATAACTGGCTTCATAACCATCTCCTGTGTACCAAAAAGGCAACAAATGAACTACACTTTAAGCAGCTGTGCAAGAGTTCATTATAATATAGAATCACTCTAATACAACAGACTGGACAGTTGAAATTGCAGCCTCAACAGGTGGCACTTCAGAAACACTAATAATTAATAATAAGCACATTAATAATGCTAGAAACATGCAGACATGCCAGACACGTGCAACAAACATGACACTGATGTGCTGCATGCTACAGATTCACAGATGTATTTTAAATCAGAAATTAAGTTAATAAATTGGACCCCCACTACACTCCAGAGGCTTGTATAAGCCCTTTTCACCGTAGCCAAAAAATGCATTTTCAGCCTGTTTTGGAGATCATTTCTTATATTTCTATCAACACTGTGTCTGATTTAAACAACCAGAAGCAAGCTGGATTTTCATCTTTGTAAGTGGGCAAGCAAGTCAATATGTAAAGGCATAAATATGTTATAAATATTTGTCTTTGTTTTATATCATAAATATATGTGCTTTTAATGTGTTTAAATGCTGATTTTTGTTATGTACAAAATCTTTTGATATGAAGAAAGCTGCCGTTTTATCTGTGCAGGGCCGTTTTTGTGGAGAGGAGAGAACTGGGGGAAAGCAAGGGGTTTTCAATCCTACCCTTTTATCCCTCATTGCTCACTAGCAGCTCAACACAATACACAGCATTTGACATACAGAAAGCCAACAGTGTCCTAGTCAATCTGATAACAGTTACAGAAAAAAATATTTTTATTTGATTATTTTTAAAATCTGATTAACTTTTCTTTACATTGGCTGAAGGGACATTTTAGGGCCTGCAGATGATAAGGTAACAAAGTCTACATAACATCACTGTTGGAACAAAACCTTGTATCTTCTCTTATTGAAAAACTTTCTTAACTTTCAATGTAACAACATTTTATTTTGGACCATTTCTGTTGGTCTTGTCATCATTAAATTCATTGTGAAATTTTAACAAAGTTGGCTGGCATTTTCAAATCGCATAACTAAATAGAAAATAAAAAACAGAGATACAAGATTTTGTTGCGACAGTGAATAAAAATATATGGGACTAAATTTCATACAGCACATTAATTTCGTGATTGTACGTGCCTGTGTTGGGCCAGCAGGTCTCGGCTGCTCTGTGGCCCCCTTCAGGACCTCGAGCTCCAGGCTCTCCTCACTCCCCCTCCCGGCCAGCATGCCGCCCTCTCTGGTGATGGTGTAGACTCGTGCCGGTTTCACGGAACCTTCCGCGCACCGCGGCTGCTGCTGCTGGGGCTGCTGGAGCTGTTGTGGCTGGTCCTCAGACGACAGGCTACGCTCGACAGAGAGCCGGCGCTTGGAGCTGGTGGGGGCCGGCACGGGCAGGCTGCCCGGCTGAAGCTGCTCTTGGCTGGGCTTGGCTACTGAAGCTGCTCTGGGGTACGGGTGCAGGTGGTTATTGTTGTGCAAGCGGCTGATGTCTGGGGACTCTGCGTCCTGGCCAATGAAGGTGTCAGACAGCAGGTGATCTAGAGAGGAGAGAAGGATAAAGATAGAGAGAGAGAGAGAGAGAGAGAGAGAGAAAGAGACACAGACTAAATCATCTTCTGAGATGAGTACTTGGCAACAGTTGTTCAAGCCTGAGGGGGCCAATAAAGCTTTTCTCTAATGAAAAAGAAAATGAAGACTGTCACAAGAGAGAGAGAGTGTGAACGCTAAAAAGACAGAGGTTGAGTAGGACATTAAAATGTAGTGGTCAGACGTAGGGCTGCTATTAAGGACCAGCGGGAAAGTTTAAGTCCTAATTTATACATTAGTGCCTTTATGGATGTCAGAAACTGTTAAAAAGGATTCAAGTAGAAACAAGAACAGAGCAAAGAGGATCAGCGAATGAGTGTGTGTCCTGACCTGATCCGTTGCGGTTCTCAGGGTGTGTGTGGGACAGGTATTCTCCAAATGCTCGAGCTGCTCTAGAGAGAGACACACAGATAACAAATCAAACTGAGAACCCACTCATAATGACAAAGCTGCATCCTCACCATAAATGTTTCTTCCTCTTTCTTGTAAACAAAGCAATATAAACACTATTCAAAATGTCCAATTCCATATGTACTATGTTCAGTTCATATATGGAAAATAAGCTGCAAACAGTAGAATTTTTCATTACTCGTGGCTGTGATGTCACAACCTTGAAAACATCTAGACAAGACCACCTACTCTGCTTACAGCAGTTCATGATTCCTATTCACAGAGAAGTGAAAAGGAGTGTTGTTACTGAAGATAGTGATAGCATTTATAGTATTTAAAGTTTGCAGTGGAGACTTACAGCATTTGTAATATTGACAGAGGAAATTCAGGGAAAATGATTGATCGCTGTCCGTTCAGCTTTTAAGCAAATGTATCACTGCGGCCCTCCAAAGGACCCAGACATCCAAAAGGAGTAGCTATTTTTTTTTTCTGGCATCCCTTAGGATTTCAGTCTGAACTTTTGTTCTGTACATTTCAGTCCAGTCGGCTGTCTGAACGAAATGTACCTCATTTCACTTACGACGGAGTCAGTCAATTAGAACAGATGTCATTTACAAACATCTGTCTTAAAGGCACAGTAACAAAACCTGAGTATTTCATTCTAAGGGATAAAGACAGGTCACATAAAAATGAATTAAATTTGTTTATGGTACTTACTTCAAGAAAAAAAAAAACAAGAAAAATAGATGTGTACTGGAATATGAGAACATTCTGCTTATAGTGTCACAGTGAGGAATAAGCACATCTACCTTGTACTGTTCCTTTATTTATAGCCTTACATTCTCTGGCCTTTCAACAGAATTGGTTGTCTGTGATTTCACCAGTGGTGAACCATGACTATTAGATCTAGAGCTTCAGTTCAGGTCATAATTGTCAAAACTCAGACACTAACTGGAAAAAGCTTTTAAAAAAGCCCATTTCTGCTAGCACCCCTATGGGGATTCTAATAATATATGTGTGCTAAGCTAATGCTGGTGCAAGTAAATCATTTTAGACGTTCTAGATTAAACATTCAAAGCTCGTAAAAGACTTTCTGTGTTCTATTTGAGGTTTGGAGCAGACATTAATATCTATTTTACCTTGTAGCAGTATCTACACAGTGAATCCTTTAGTTAAGAGCCCCAGCATAGAGCTGTCATTGCTATTTCTTCTGACTGGCAACTCACTCAAACCTAGGACTCATATTTACAGACGTATCTAGGATTTTTTCGGAAGGCCTGGATTGACCTTTTTTCTCTTGAAATTTGCCCCAACACTTTGAAAATCAAAACATGATTGATTCACTCCACTGTCACTTCCTAATTATCCTGGGGGTTAATCTAACATAAAAGACCAGCTCCTGAGATCCTAACCCAGTGACACAACTTGCTTGGCTGTATCTACCTTGATACCACATGGAAAAAAATCCTGACTGGATGAATTTTCTTTGGCTGTTTCAAGATGCTGGTTTCTAGCCAGTACTTAATAATGAAATATAAGCACTTGCAGAGTTTTAATACAAACATGATTAAATAAAAATTACAGTCATGTATTTTTTACTCCCTGAAGTCATTAGGCCTAGAAAGACCTGAGGGTTCTTCTCTGATGTAAACACCTTTAAAAATGCACTACTCGGGGGCTCCCGAGTGGCGCAACCATCTAAGCGTTGGCCCTATCATCAAGAGATCGTGAGTTCGATCCCTGGTGATGCTACAGCCATCCGTAGCTGGGAGTCCAAGAGAGCACAATTGGCCTCGCTCTCTCTGGGTGGGTAGGATGGCCCCTCCTTCTCCCCCCATCACTCAACGCGATGCTAGTAAGCGCAGGCGTCTGTTAGCTGACGTAACAGATCTGGCGGTTGGCGCTTTCCTCCGAGCGCATTCGGCTGTCCAGTGACGTTGCGTGAGCGGCAGTTCGAAAAGAAGCGGTGGTTGGTTTCACAGGTCTCGGAGGAAGCCTGTGTTAGCCTTCACCCTCCTAGCGTTGATAGCATCGTGTGATTGGGGGAGTCCTAACTAGCGGGTGGAATTGGAAACGACTAAATTGGGGAGATAATTGGGTTAAAATCCAAAAAAAAAAATGCACTACTCACTGCTCAGTCCATATAGTTCATATATGGGAAATAAGCTGCAAAATAGTATTTTAATTCATCATGGCTGTGATGTCACAAGCAAGAACACTCTGAGTATGACCACCCACTCAGCGTACAGCAGAGTGGATGATGAGGAAAAAAACGATTAAATGTTGAGCTGTTCCTGGCTGTTGGGAAGCAAATCTGTCATTGCAGCTTTCCAAACATTCAGACAGCTGAGAGAAATGGCTGAAGTTTATTTTTTTTTCTGGCATCCCTGAAGATTTCATTCTGAACGTAACAGTGTGTTTCAGACTGGACTGCTTTTTGAACATAGCGTGCCCCATTTTACTCGGGAGTCAGCCAATCAGAGCCTAGGTCATTTACATATGTCAGTCTTAAAGGCACAGCTTGTTTTATTCTGAACAGAGGTTAGGAAAAAACTGTTTTTGGTGCATACTTCAGAGGGCAATTCTAAGAAAAATAGAGGAATAGTAGAAAATTGTCACTTCCACATACTGCTCATAGTGTCACACAAGAGGAATAAACATGTCTGCTTTGCACTGTTCCATTATTCATAGCTTGCATTAACAAGCGATTATGCCTTAGATCCTCTGGCCTTTCAGCAGAACTGTTGGTCTGCGATTTCCCATTTACACTTTAATGTCTAATATAACAGGCTGCTTTTATTACTATACTTCTTAAAAACCCATTTCTGCTGTGTAAATACCATATTGTGCTATGGCTGTCATGATCTCTTTATGGTACAATTCCCTCTATTGCTCTCCAGTGCATGGCAGCCACAGACTGGGACAATACAGAGTAGTCTGCATCCAGGAAAAACTGCCCCGCTCAGCAAAACAGGAAAAACCATTACAAGATAATGTCATGTGCCATGGGCTCCTGTTTAAATTGGTGCGTGTGCTACGGCCTGCCTGCCTACACATAGCCGAGCGTGATGCGATCAAAACCCCCATGACACACAGCCTCCTTCAATAGCAGGTTAACTCAATGAGGCGTGGAGCAGGGAATTGATTGCAGAATCATGGGGCATTGCTTTGTGGCATCAGGTCACACAAGATAGTTTGTTGGCTGTTGGAGAAAATGGCTAAAAAATGACTGCAGCTGGAATTAATGGAGCAGTAGCAAACAGGATGATCCAGTGCTCTAGAGGTACAGAAATGTGTGCTCTTGGAGGGAGCAGGGATGCATTTTTAAAGGGCCCATATAATAGAAAACCATATGTAGTATGTAAGTAATGTTACATTCGCTTCTGAGCCCATACTGATGTCACAAAAACCAATGCATTTACATACATCTGCTCACTCAGCCTATAGTAGTTACACAGTAACAAATATAACCAGCAAAGAATGGTTGGAAAATGGCTGAATAAAAATGTTTTTGGTATCAAATCCTATACAACCATCATAAGAGAACCTCAGGAAAAAAATAGAAGAAAAATGTAGGATATGGTCCATATCCAGTGCTTTACAGCTACAGAACTCAGTAAGCTTAGAGGTAGGGGGAGATGTAGCTTTAAGGAACTGGGACATGAGGGAGACTGATTTAACGCGAGATGTTCTGCAAGGCTCATTAGAGCAACCTTGCTTTCATTCCTGCCTCGCTGTCCTCATCAAACAGTAACCTTAGAGTGAACTCACGTTTATGTTCAAGCAAACGGAGGAACAGTAAATGTTAATGACTACTTTTTCTCTTGTGATATGATATATGATGTATGATGAGCAGCACTGGCACTACACCTCAAACCAGTGTATGTGATTATGTTTCTTGTGTATATTGGGTGGGGACAATACTGGCATAGAACCTCTGCATCTACATTTCCATCCAAAGGATTTTTTATGAAAAAATGTTTTAATGCTTCAAAATGCTTGATGATGTGAGCTATGAAAACAGAAATGTCGACAAAACTTTAGCAGATAAATTTGCTTATTGATACCTGAAATGTTGTTACATTGGAAAAAGGAAAAAAGGGTGCATTTATCCATTAATGTAATAGGGATGCACCAACATGGGAATTGTGGGTGGATGCTGACATCTGAATATTTTCTTCCCCATATGTGGCGAAAGCGATACTGATGAAGATGCATAAACATTAATAAGACTGAGACTGCATCTATCTGCATTAGTGTTATGGAGAGATATTTATTTTACTGCGTTTTACAAATGCGGTAAAATTAAGATATTTTGGCACAGTAACCCAGCATGCATGCCTAAATTTTAAAATTGTGACAGATTTCCTGCATGTTTCTCTTACAACAAAGACACAACACACAACGGCACTTACAGAGAGAGATGCTCAGAAAAGAATACAACCTTTCTAAAGAGAAAGTGCTGAAACAGATCTATATGGCAGAGAAACGGTCGCACGTGCGTAATGCTTCAGAAGAATAATTTTTGTTGTTACTGTAATTTAATTAAATTAAAGAAATATGGGGAAGCCTGAGAGGCCAAAGCTAGACAGGTTGTAAAATCAAATTACAGATGCAAGAACAACTTTTTTATCTATAACCCAAAAATTATGCAACAACATTTCTTTTCACAGGAAATGAAGCATATTTATGCTTCACAAAGTCAGTTTGATGGAAACAAACTGCTGGACAGCAACAAACACAAACTTTTTTAAGGCACTTTCATTTTATTGCTTGCACAGAAAGTCAGTGGAAATGTAGCTTCTATGACTTATTGTGGATACAGTGGCAAGAAAAATCTATAAATCACAAACAGTCTTACTGCCAAGTCAAACTAGACTAAACTTGAACTCGATTTTCTATAAAGTCAACAAAAGGCGTAGCACATTTTTAAGACATTTACACAATGTTTTACAGTGATGATTAGGTTTCCTTTTTCACTATTCTGTTGCTTTCTATTGTA